ATATATATAATAATATTGTGACATGTTGACCCCTACCTTCCCAGCTGCACGTAGCGGTAATGTAGCGCTTGCGTAATAGGCGAGTAATCACCCTGCAACTCTCCCCGCGGTGACGTCACGAGTGGAGCCGAAGTGAGCCGAGCGGAGCCGACGTTAGCCGAGTCCCCACAACCTTGAAGCTATGCAAAGCGAGTCAACAGCGGTGACGTCACCGAGAGATATCGCGGTTGCTAGGCAGCAGTCAACAACTCGGGACAGCGTGGCTAGCAACACGGCACCAGACGACAATGGTCCGGACCGAGGCTACATAAGGAGCAGCGAAGGCTATTCACAGTCAGTCCTGGAGCTACCTCCGAGTTAGTTCCGAGTTAGCCAGCAACCAGTCAGTTGTATTGTGGCATTTGGAGTGTAGTATTTGTGATACTGCAGATAGCAGTAATTGTCAGACTGTAAGTTGGGTGATTGTAAGTGCGAATGTGAAACAAAATTCGCTACATCAAATATGGCGTGAAGTTATTTGTCGCGTCATACGCCCAATACGCGACAATATTATAAATATATGCAAGTGATACTATGAACAATGTACAGAGTATCCAGCAATACTCTTGTCTATAAGTGTGAAGAGACCATAATATAATTTAATTCTTCTACAGCTATGTTTTATACATATTTAGTTATGAATAACAATTATTGTTTACAATAAAGTAAAAGGTAACACTACAACCAATCCTTCTTAAATAGGTGTTAGCATCCCTAATACACTCCACTCTACCTATCACGATTTCTTATTTTAAGGCAATAGTGAGTGGTTTTACTCCCTTAGACCAATGGAAGCCACATGCATACTAGGTGAGAAACTTCTGAGCTGCATGGAAGGCAAAGGCAGGTACGCAATCTGGCAGGATCAAAGGAGAAGCCACAAGCAGACTAAACAAGGCAGGCAGGCAAGCATCACTACAAGGAAGAAAACAATTGCATAACAAACACATGCTCCTTAAAACACAACATTTACCAGTTCAAAATTAAGTGTGAAAGCAGAGAACAACTAATATAAATCCTATAAGAGGGACTGCAGCTCTACAACGTACCTAATAAATGATGCTATGGTGTGGCATTACTATTTCCCTCATTAAGACACTTGTGCGACATAACATGACCTGTGGTTGATCCATTTTCCTCCAGTTCTCTACAAAACACATCACTGAAGCTTTTGCATGTATGATGAAACTCCTCTAGAACATCACAATCACAAATACAAAATTAGCTTAATTATAACAGAGAACAGTTCAAGTTAAACAAGTGACCCAAAGCATTTTACCACTGTCACAATTTCCATTATAACTTCAGTCAACTTCATCACATTTTCTTATATATTACATCATTAACTGAAAAAAATTCATGTCAAGTCAATACAGTGTATCTTTATTTCCTCATTCCAAGGGAATCTCCATAAAAGCTAGATAAGAACAATGCCAGCTAGTACGTTGGATGAGGAAATCAGGTAGGCAGGCAGAAAGAGGCACAGAAAAGCAGGTTTAAACATCCCGAAGAAAGGCATGCAGTTAAAATCAGGCAGAAGCACATATGTCATATTCATGATCATGACATTTTAATGGATAAAGCCGTTGGCATAACAAAGGCATTTTACTTAAAAACCAAAATTTAATACGTGGCAAATAAGTCTAAATGAACAGAACTACTAACTTAACACCAGCAGGAGGAATTGCTGATGTACATGTTCCATCGTAATGCTGGTATGGTGTGGCAGGATCATTTCCACCGTCACAAGGACCACTTGTGTCTCTCTAAAATACCCAGGAGTAGACATTTAATACCAACACTCATCACTACATCATAGTTTCTTTTGCCTCTTCATTCAGTGACAACAGTCTCACTGTTGCTAACATCTGTCAACGGTGACACAGGGCCACCACAATCAGCAACTTCCAACATTTCCTTTGTCTCCAAAATATGGCCTGAAGGACAAGAAATGAAACTCATCTAAATATCACAATCACAAAAATGTATTATCTTAATTATGACAAACAACAGTTTTATCTTATATGTATGTAAAATCATATTTAACAGTCATCAATTTCCATTACAAATTAAATCAACTATATCACAATTCCTTATCTTACATTACAAAGTGAAAATTTCATTTTAAGGCAATAGTGAGTGCATTTACTCCCTTAGTCCAATGGAAGCCACATGCATACAAGGTGAGAATACTCTTGAGCTGAATGGATGGCAAAGGCAGGAATGCAATCTGGCAGGGTCAAAGGGGAAGCCACAAGCAGCCTAAGGCAGGCAGGCAGTCATGTATCACTACAAGGAAGAACACATTTGCATAACAACCACATGCTCCTTAAAACCAAATATATAACAGATCAAAATTAAGTGTGAAAGTAGAGAACAACTAATATAACTCCTATAGGAGGGACTGCAGCTCTACAACTTTCCTCATAAATCATGGTATGGTGTGGCATTCCTATTTCCACAATTAAGACAATTGTGTGACATAACTTGACCAGTGGTTCATCCATTTTCCTCCACATCTCTAGAAAAAACACATCACTGACGCTTTTGCGTGTTCATACAATCAGATCGGTCTCATTGCAAATCAGTTCATAAACGTGTCACGCAGGACTCAACAAGCAGAAAAGCCCGTGAAGGTTTTCTAATTCTCCAAAATTAACCTCAAATAAAAGAATAATGTCTCTTACTTCAAGGAAATATATGATGAAGCTCCACTAGAATATTACAATGACAAATACATAATTAGCTTAATTATAAGAGAACCGATCATGTTAAATATGTGTGTCAAAGCAATTTACCACTGCCACAATTTCTATTATGACTTGATTCAACAATACATTATTAACTGAAAAAAAAAATTATGTCGACAATACCGTGTTTTCTACCTCCTTATTCAAAGGGAGCCCCAGGAATGCTAGATAAGAACAATGCCATCTAGAACGTTGAAAGAGGAAATCAGGCGGGTGGGCAGGCAGACAGGCAGAAAGAGGCAGAGAAAAGCAGGTTTACACATGCTGAATAATAGCCATGCAGTTAAAAGGCAGGCAAAAGCACATATGAGACATTCATGGTCCTGACACATGAAGGATAAAGCCGTTCCCATAAATATGACATTTACTTAAAAACAAAATGTAATACTTGTCAAATAAGACTACACGATCAGAACAACTAACTTATATACACGTTACCTCATAATGCAGTTATCGTGGGGGAGTATCATTTCCACCGTCACTAGGACTACTTGCGTGTCTCTAACTTACCCGCGTGTAGAACATTTATCACCAACACTCATCAACATATCATGCTGGCTTTTTCCACTTCATTCACTCAAAACTGTCACACTGCCGCTAACATCTGTCAACGGTGACATGGGGCCACCTCAATCAGCAACGTCCCACATTTCCTTCGTCTCCAAAACATGGCCTGAAGGACAAGAAAGTGACATTTACTTTCCAGATATATAACATGAAAATCAACTAAATATTACAATCACAAAAATTTATTATCTTAATTATGAGAAACAACAGTTTCAATCAAATATGTAAGTGAAATCATATTAAACAGTCATTAAATTCCATTACAAGAATCTATCTACTATATCACATTTTCTTATTCTACATTACAAAGTGAAAAATTTCATTTTAAGGCAATAGTGAGTGCATTTACTCCCTTAGTCCAATGGAAGCCACATGCATACTAGGTAAGAATTCTCCGAGTTGCATGGATGGAAAACGCAGCTACACAATCAGGCACGATCAAACAGGAAGCCACAACCAGACTAACGCAGTCAGGCAGGCAAGTTTCACTAGAAGGTAGAACACATTTGCATAACAAGAACATATTCCATAAATCCCAAAATTTAACAGTCCAAAATTAATTCTGAATGCAAGAACAACTAGTATAACTCCTACAA